TGCTTCCAAATCTAGATTTGTGGTAATTAAAAATGTATAACTACATCATAAATATTATCATACACACAGATAGATGGGGAGGAAAGAGAAAGAGAGAGAGAGAGAGAGAGTAAACTTTTAAGAAGCAAATGAAAAAAACCTTTTATACTCTCTTCAGAGTTGCTTGTAGAAGTGTTTGATTGATTATTCTCAGCAGAGCGTTTGGAATCTCCTTTGGGTTCGAGTTTTGATATCATCTTCATCACCACGTTATTATTATTATTATTATTTCCAACACCCCCATCATCAAACCGGCTAGTTTTTATGCCACCAACTTTTTTGCCACTAGATGAAGATGATGGAGCTCCTCCTACATCCATATATTCAATAGCAAATTGGTTGAGAGTTGGCAATACACCTTCCTGGCTACCACCACCACTACCATCATTTTCATTATTATTATTAACTGGCCTCCATTTGTTAGTTTGTTTGCTGCTGCTGCTTGCATCCCCGCCAACATCACTCGCTGCTGAACTGGCATTTGTTAATCTATTAAAAAAAAAAGCCAGTCGTTTGCAGCCAGTTATTATTTGGTTTTAACGATTGAAATGATGATGCTGTAGACGAAGTAATGATGAATAATTATAGATATCATACAATACAAAAGATTAACAACCACAAATACATTACTATGATCAGTCGACGAAACCAACTAACCGATCAAATCAAATCGGCCAATCAACTAACTTGAAGAAAGCCACGCCCCCACTCTCAGGAGGGCAAAGAAGCTGCCCCATGGTTCTAACACTATCGAGTATGGCTTGAATGTTCTCATCGCCCTTTTTGGCATAGGCAACTTTAGATGCAGATTTCCATATCATGGTTTCTCGCTGACCGGTATAGTTATTATTATTATCACCACTACTACTTCTTGTGCTACAAATACCACTAGTAGAAATGCTACCTCTGCTGTCGGTAGTAGTACTGGTACCGCACTGAATATTCTTAGTAATGGCTGATGTGACAGTGGCGGTGACTGTGGTGCTGATAGCTGCTACTGGGATAAAACTACCTCTCTTGTGATACTCTTTCTGTTTCCCTTCGCTTGCTTCAGCTGAATAGAGAGAAGAACCTCAGTAATTTATAACATAAACAATATACACACATACATTTATATACATGCTGAAGATTTGTGAATACTAGTTATCACTATATTTATTAATCATGTTGTCAAAATAATTAACAATAAAGTTGTTAATAACATTAACATCATTATCCTTCTTAATATTAACCAGCAGTGCTAGGATTAGGAGCGTCATTTTGAACCACTTTGGGGACTAATGATTTCCAGTCCAACTTGCTGAGCATGATGGCCGTCTGCTTGGCAGTCTTCAACGCCATGTCAAAACTTGAAGACGTACCAGAGGCTGAAGCAGGTGTGTCATGAACCAACGAGCCGGCAGACATAAGACCATCAACATACTCACTCCTATTATTAGGCACCAGCGGTTGACCAAACCTCAACAATGGTATTTTTAATGGCATCATTGGGCGTGAAAACTGAAAATTGTTACCTGGTGGCTGACCCTGTAAATGACCTGGGGGATTAACCTGAGACGAAACTTGCGGTGGATGAGTGTTCTGGGAAAGGTTGGAGATATAGTTCACCATCCAGGGACTTGGAGGGGGCATGAATGGCTGAAGGAAGTAACGATAGGTAGGAAGAATATCTTCGTAGCTTGGACTCGATGAGGAACCTGGCATGGAAGCCCTAGGAGAATCAGGTCTGGGTTGTGATGACGAGCCCTGCGTGCCATAAAGAAATAAATTTCATTCACCTGAAGCAATAAATGAATAAACACAAAAATTCCTATTTTCATTTAACAAAGAAAATATGTGATTACACATATACATATAAATAAATACAATATTCTATAAATTCTACCAAATGTTTAGCGTTAATATGTTTGTAAATATAAATAAATAAATACATACAATTAAGTATCACATTTTTTAGTACCTTAGTACCTTTTAAAATTATGGAAATAATAATTATGATAATTGGTTTAATAATGTCTAAACTCTAAAGAGATTGTTTATTATAATTTTTTTGAAAGAGTTTGTAGACACACAAAATGAACAATTTACTAACTTAAAAAATGTTTTATGGAATTTCAAACATAACTTTCATTTTTAAGAGCACATAAAAAAAGCTTAGTCTTTTTAAGAATTAAGAGGCTAGTTCACAATTCAAAATTTCATAAAAATAATGAACAGAGCAAACAGATTCTCTGGTGCAAATTCTTCAGTTTACCTTTGAAGAATTTTAATGAATTTTAAGACCTTTTTAATGACCCTTCTTAAATCTCACAAGGAGAGTAATTAAAAATGAGATTTACAAAGTATTTGAACCAGGGTGGCACTAACTAAACCGGTTGTTAAATTATTTTAAAAAATACGGAATTTCCGCTTTAATGCAGCTGACAACCATTTCAAATTTCATTGTTTAACTCTGAAAAACTTGACTCAAATCAGCTTGCTTAAGTCTTAAGCTTGCCAAGGGTCCCAGAATAATTGTTCATAAGATTTTTACTTTGAATCTACAAATTAACATCAAGACTAACTGTCGGGGCTGCCATTCTTACGGTTTATTCATTTTAATTTAAAGGAACAAAAAGTCAAAAACAAGTTTTTTACAGTAACAAACACAGATTCAAAAATAACGACTTAGGACGAAACGTCAGGAAGGCTGTCCACGAATTTATTTGACAGTGGTTAAAGGTTAAAGGTCGAAGTTTGGCCAAGGGCTGCGGGTTAGACAATCAAGTGTTATGATCTATTTGACGTGACTAAAAAGCGAGAAAATTAGTAAATTGAAAAGAAACAACCACGTTTTTAGAAATAAATCAAACTTTTATAGATAATTTGCCTTCATTAAAAATCCTTATGCAGTATTTTTTATATTCATTTAGTGATTTGTATTTAACATCAATCAATCAATCAATCAATCAATCAATTAGCTTATAAAGCGCTATTTCCGCGATGTTCAACAGCGCTCCTCAATGAATTTTGAAAACAGATGGGTCTTGAGATCCGCTCTGAACTTCGCAAGCGATGGAGAAATAGTTAGAGAAGTAGGCAGAGAGTTCCAGAGAAAAGGACCAGAAAAAGCAAAAGCAGATTTGGCAAAAGAGTGTTTAACACGAGTTAAGAAAAAGCGAGAAGAAGAAGACGATCGTAAACCGGGGCGTTTAGGTTCAATTAATATATCTGATAAGTACTTAGGAAATAATTTAGATTGAGACTTATACATGAACGTGCAAATTTTAAAAATTATTCTATATTTTATAGGTAGCCAGTGCAAGAGAACAAGATATGGAGATATATGAGAAAAGAAAGGGGCACGAGCAACTAGACGAGCAGCAGAGTTAAAAGCTTTACTTAAAGGATAGAGTATAGAGTCAGGAAGACCATAGTAGAGCGAGTTACAATAATCAATCCTAGATAAGACTAACGAAGTAACAAGAAGGAGAAGAGTAGGATCATCAAGAAAAGGCCAAAGTTTTTTTATTCTACGTAGATGAAAGTAAGAGCTTCTAGCAACACTATTAATCTGAGAAGAGAGAGACCTAGTAGAATCCAAGATATAACCTAGACACGAAACTTATGAGAGACATCAAGAGTTTTAGAATCAGGTAAGATAATAGGAGGAATAGTAATTGAGTGTTTAGATTTATTAAAACAAATTAATTCAAACTTAGAAGGATTAAGTTTAAGACACATAGAATCAGACCAAGCGATAATCGAAGAAAGACATAGAGATAAATTATGAAGAACATTATTGAGATTAGATGGAGGAAAAGAAGTATAAATATAAGAATCATCAGCATATAGTTGACTAGAGAAAGAAAAGTTATTAATAATACGAGGTAGTTCAGAAGTATAGAGTATAAATAGAAGAGGGCCAAGGATAGAACTCTGTATCTGTTTAACTTGACTTAGTTTGGTGAGATTAAACTCTATAAATTCTTTAAAAAATATGTATAAATTTAAATTATTACAATTAAACAAGTAATCTAACCCTAACCCTAACCCTTTGCTGAATCTGCTTTGGCTTTTTCTGGCCCTTTTCTCTGATTGATACATTAAGTATATCATACATATATATGTAGAATATACCAAGAGCTGCGGGTTAGACAATCAAGTGTTATGATCTATTTGACGTGACTAAAAAGCGAGAAAATTAGTAAATTGAAAGGAAACAACCACGTTTTTAGAAATAAATCAAACTTTTATAGATAATTTGCCTTCATTAAAAATCCTTATGCAGTATTTTTTATATTCATTTAGTGATTTGTATTTAACATCTGTATCTGTTTAACTTGACTTAGTTTGGTGAGATTAAACTCTATAAATTCTTTAAAAAATATGTATAAATTTAAATTATTACAATTAAACAAGTAATCTAACCCTAACCCTAACCCTTTGCTGAATCTGCTTTGGCTTTTTCTGGCCCTTTTCTCTGATTGATACATTAAGTATATCATACATATATATGTAGAATATACACAAGCATGTTTTATTCTATTTATATAAAGTATATATATTAACTATTCTATGTTTTTACATCATTTAAAAGTAAAACTGTTTAAAAGTACAAATAATGTAAATCTAAATAATCAAATTTTACGTGAATTCGTCGCATTTCTAACGTTTTTTGCGATCAAATTTAAAAAAATTTCAGTCTTTAGCGTACGATTCTGTGAAATTTCATCAATGAAAATTGTGTGTAAAATTTTTTCGGTAAAAATCAGTGTCATTACTCACAATATTTTTTTCCACAAACAATTAATTTAATTTTAAAATTTTTATAAAATTCTAAACAAAAATTGTATGTAAAATCATTTTTCATTATAATTAGTTATTGTTATATATTACCATCTATAATTTTTATAAAAACTAAAAAATTAATTCTAGTATTTATCAGTAAATCACAGAAATAGATTGAAATAAAAAAAGAAATGAATCTTCCTGGTTTAAAAAATGAGGTAATTAAATTAATTAAGAAATTGGCAAATATTTTTTAACCAATTATCTATCTAATAATTTTCTATTTTTATATAATTACATAATTTTAATTATCAATGTTCATATATAATCACATAATTATACATAAAAACACTCCTCCATACACACACATACAATATGAATACATGCTTATGTTTCTATCTATCTATATCATTTACATTTAATTTACAATTTACATTACCAAGTTTACAACTTAGTAGTAATGTAATTAATACAGTATTTTTGAATTAGTGTAACTCGGCTAGTGTAACTGTAACTACTATCTGATTACTACACAGCAGTATAGTTTTAGTTAGAATGCAGAGTTTTCTAAAACCAATAATTCTCAAATGTAGAGGATGGTAGATAAATCAATATCCTCTTACTACTAGATAAGATTTGAATATATATATATATATATATATATATATATAATATACATGCAATTATTTATATATATTACATATACACATATGTAATATATATATATATATGTGTGTGTGTGTGATCTAGCATTTCTTTATTTTATGTAGTTTGTGATGTTTGTTTATATATATATACACATATATATGTATTCTATTTTGTAAGAAGGAATAATTTCACTTGAACAAACTTATATATTCTGTCTGCCAAAAGGCGAATTATGACTTCATTTAAAAATATCAGGAAAAAAATAACTGTTTAGTTTTTCTATTTTCGTTTTCAATTAATTAATTAAGTCATTTTACTTTATTAATTAATAAATTTAATTAATTAATAAATGAATAAATGTAGTATAATGTAAGTAAAGAATGTTAAAGGGGAAATAGTTTTTTTCTTGATTAACTAACCAACAGTTGTTACTTGAAGAATTTCATTAGTCAAATGAAACATCTTGTTCTATATTTAATAATTTAAAAAACAATATTTGCAGTCGCTAGGTGTCACCCCGGCCGCCACAAGCCCCAGTGATGTGATGATAATGACGAAAAAGCCTAAAAAAATTATTCATTTCAGTGACGGTGCGTTCGAAGAATATTCAGATGATGATGACGACGGCAAGAATGCAACTGCTGGTGTAGATCAAAAAAATGAAAATACTCTTATAGACCCGGTTACTGATGATGATGGTGGTGGTGATGATGATGACATTGGTGGTGCTGATGATGATGGCATCAACAAAGTTATATATTTAATTATATCACTATCATCTTCTCTTAAATAACTTTTTTGCTTTTGCAGAAAACCCAAACCTGGCCATCTTACATTTTATCAAGTGAATAATTATTTCATTCAGTATTTCGTCATCATCGTCATCATCATCACCACCGTCATCATCATCATCATCACCAGTTCTAGATGGCGCTGGAGAAAAGTTGGCCTGGTTCTTTGGCATCACAAGTCCAAAATATCAATACGCCATTGATGAATACATGCGAAGGAAAAAAGAGGTAACGATGATTATGATGTCGGTGATGATAATGATGATGGCGGTGATGACCTCAATTATGTTGATTATAGCTACATTAAGTTTATTAATAACTATTAATCAATCAGTTCTATCTCTATCGTCTTACTTTCGCTTTTTACTTAGGCATTCGCTTAGTTATTTATTTGTTCTTTCATTTGTTCACTCATTCATTCGTTCATTCATTCACTCATTCATTCACTCAATCAGGAGCAGGAAGATCGTGAGTTTGAAGAGAGAGAAAGACAGGCCAAAATGGAACGAGAGACGAGAATAAAAAATGACAAACAACGACAAAGTAGTAATAGTATTGCTACCATAGAAACAAACAAAAGCAATATTTCTGTAATATCACCCACCAAACCAATCTCAAATGCCGAAAAGCTTTCCATATACTCAACCGGCCGGACAGCCGATGATTACATTAAAACCGAGAGTGAAGCCATTTCGGATTTTCCAGAAGTTATTATTTCTTCGGAGATTCCCAACAAAGGTTTCAATTCCGGTTCAGCTGCTGCTGCTTCTTCTGTTGCTGTCAATTTAGCTGAGCTCGGGTCTGATAATGACGCCTCAAGTGACGTCACCAAATTTTGAAAAGTGCTTGATTTTGAAATACAGCGCAGATGAAACAATGATAAATATTTTTCTTATTATCTATCTATGTTATGGTTTAATGAATTTATTTCCGTTTTTCGATGTTTTTCTTTATTTCAATGAAAAACTTTTTTCAATGTTTTGTTATCATCTGCCTATTCCACATATCATCTATTATATTACGACAGACGCGAGCGAAATTGTAAATAAAGCTGGCTTGCTCGTCTGGCTGAAATCCAGACGACCAATAGAATTCAAGCAATGCTTATTTGCTCTTGCCACCACGATTCAAACTGACCAATCAGCTTCAGTTTATCTTTCTCTATGGCGTGTTGTAGTTGGTCAATTTCTAATTTTAACCTCTTCAATGATGAGACGATGTTTCTGTGCCTGAAAATTCGAAAGTATGAAAGAAAGATAACCATTTTATTGGCTCAATTATTATCGGTTAGTCATTTTTAGACTCACCTAGCTCTCTCCTTCTCAAATTCACCAATCAAACTATCTTCTTCATCGTTGTTCAAACCATCACCATAACCTAAATAAGTTAGCATTGGTGAAAGTATGACCTACATACATAGTTAAAAAAATAATTATGACCTCATTGCATAATTATAAGTATTAAAATAACGTTAAAGATAATTATAGCAGCAGTTTTTTTACCCTCATTCATCTTCTGTATTCTTATCTTTTCTATTCTATATTTCAATTTATCTGCCAAAAAATTAAAGCAACTTATAATTATTATTGTTGCAACTTAAATCACACATAAACATCATTCATTCATCCAATCGTTTATTCGTTTTTTATTATTTGTTCATAAACATCTACTTACTCTACTGATTCATTCATTCACTCTTCATTTACAAATTGATTTACTCAATCATTCATTCATCCACTCGTTCGTTCATTCATTCATCAACTTTATGATCTCACTTATATTTTCTTTAACGTTAACTAAAGCCATCCCGAGTTGTTTGGCAGTGGCGGTCAATTCATTCAGTTGAACTTTGCTATCTTTGATGTACTTGTAACCTTCACTTTCTCGTTTGAAAACCTCGAAGGCCTCCTTCCTACCTAGAGACATCGCCGAGACTGAAACCAATTTTTAAGTTTGAAAGGTGTAAATTAGTCAGCGTAATGTGTAATTCATTATAGGTAAATGTGATAGTGAATACAAGTGTTTGAGTAATCATAATGTTAACGTGGACTTGTGTGTATCTGCTTCTCACGCATTTGCAAGGTAGATGCGAATGCAGCGAATGTAAAGATGGTTAATTTGTAATTTTGATGCGAACTAACAATGTAGAAATAGTAAAGTGTCGCTAGTTGTAATGTGATAGAAATGGATGAATATCTACTTTTTTTGCTTCCCAACTTCCTGGCGTCATTTCTACTCAGCGACACCGTACTTGATGACGAAGACGACGACGATGGTGGTGGTGATGATGATAACATTGATGTAGATGGTGGTGGTTTTGGTGATGGTGCTTGCGCCAGTTTTGATGGCGATGATGATGAAAATGATAAAGACGGAGGCGTGTGTTTTTGATGTTGATGTTTGTTCGATTGTACAAAACTTTGCGATGTTGAATGAGATAATTGTTGTTGTTGTTGTCGTTGATGATGTTGTTGTTGTTGCTGTTGATGTTGTTGTTGATGTTGTTGTTTCGATTTTTTGATCAAATTCACCAAAACATCTTGAACATTGGAAAAATTAGTATTTCATCATTATTTCATTTATCCCCGTTCGTTCGTTCGTTCGTTCATCCATTCATCACTCACTTATCTCATTATCTCTCTGCAATAGTAATTTTTTCAAATTCGAGTTTTCCTCCATCAAATTAGCCCCGTCCTCTTGACCAACTTTACTGAAATCTGATTGGTCAGATTTTTCATTCTCTTTCTGGACGACGTTGTTTGATTGGCAAGTGCATCTCCGTATTCTTTTCTATTTAGGGAGATTTAATTTGATTGGTTGTTGAAAAATCATGTATTTTATGAATGAATTAACATAAATTACTATAATAAGTATTCAATATAAGATGTGTATATATATAAATATATTCATGTTTATTCATATTTATTTAGAATTGTCAACGAAAACAAACTCTCATGATGGAGCAGCATTTTAAAATCTTCCTCACATCTCCATCCACCAATAACATTTCGCCGTCATCATTATCATCACTGCCGCCATCATCATCATCGTCGGTGTTATTATTATTATTATTATTATTATTATTAGTACTAGACTGGCTGTTGTTGTTCTTATTGCCTTTTTTCGTTAGGTAAGCATTAACGACATTTATGCACCTTTGAGAGAAAAATAAAATAATAATTATCGAACCAATAACAACAACAACAATAATAATAATCGAACCAATAACAACAACAACAATAATAATAATCGAACCAATAACAACAACAACAATAATAATAATCGAACCAATAACAACAACAACAATAATAATAATCGAACCAATAACAACAACAACAATAATAATAATCGAACCAATAACAACAACAACAATAATAATAATCGAACCAATAACAACAACAACAATAATAATAATCGAACCAATAACAACAACAACAATAATAATAATCGAACCAATAACAACAACAACAATAATAATAATCGAACCAATAACAACAACAACAATAATAATAATCGAACCAATAACAACAACAACAATAATAATAATCGAACCAATAACAATAATAATAATATTTTAAGTGTAATAATTACTCCTTCAATTCGGTTTCATCCAATTTTCCATTCGTGCTTTCAAGAGCGCCATTGTTACAATTATTATTATCATTATCATTATTACTATTGTAATTATTGTTGTTTATTTTCAGCTGCAGGGTCAAAAGTTCAATCTGTTTCTTCAACCTTGAGATGGTGACCTTGTCATCAATGACCTCATTGATGTAAGCCTCGTTATGTATCTGGGACACGCGCTGGGCAAATCGGCACGATGATATGGTCTCCTAAGTAGGTCAAATAAATTAACCTATTAATTAGATAATAATAATAATAGTAGTAGTAGTAGTACTACTACTAGTGGAGATCCAGACGTTTTTGATATATAGTATCTTGAATCGGCCGGACAGTTATATTATCATTATGCAGGTTTCATTATGTAGGTTTCTATAGTTCAATTGTTGTGGAACCTGACGCTGGCTGATGATGTAGTGAATAATCTATAATCTATATATAGGCTGGCGGTTTGACGTACTTCGACATTGTTAGCATCTAGAGAGCAGGTCGTGATCATCGTGGTCATGCAGTTTCCGCCCAGACTGTCACGCAGTATGGACGTTAAAAGGCTGTTCCTATACGGTATGTGAGACTTCCGATCGGAGAGTGTCACTATAACCTAGAACGGTGGTGATGATGACGATGATGATGTTGGTGAAAGTAAAAATATCAGTTATTAAACTACTTTAAAAACCAAATCAAAATCGTGTCATCGCCATCATCCTCAACATCATCAACAACAACAACATCATCATCATCATCAACATGGACAACAACAACATCATCATCATCATCAACATGGACAACAACAACATCATCATCAACATCATCATCATCACCATAACCTGTTCCAGGTGATGCAGCGATAGATTGATGTGTTTGGCTTCGTTCAACGTCACTCCGTCAACTCGCGACTTACTCACTCTCTCCGAACTGATGATGATGATGATGATCACGATTATTATTATTATTTTTATTATGCAGTTGACCTTGACCTCGACGACGATTGTTATAAATAATTACTACGATGACAAAAAAAGCATTAGCTAAACTGGTAGCAGTGTTGGTAAAATGATATCAACTAAACCGATGAAGATGATGACGACGACGACGATGATGATGATGACAATGATGACAATAACGAACCAACCCTGCCAAATCGACGAGATGTAACTTGGAATTTCTGATGAGAGAGGAATGGAGTTGCTTGATGGATAAGTGGATGGTGAAGATGCAGTGCGAGCGAGTCGATTGAATGTTCATAGGAGTCTGATTGAATGAATGATTGATTGGTTGGTTAATTGATTGGTTGATTGATTGATTGGTCGATCGATTGGCTAATTAATTGGATGATTGATCTCTAGACCGATTGGACATAAGGAAACAAAGACTCATTTTTCAAACAAAGCTTTCTTTTCATAAAAAAAATTTAAGCCATAACCCTCATTCTCCCAACCAATCAAATTTAAATTACACATTCGAGCAACGCGACACATATTAAAGCAGCCACGCAAATAACCCAGCCAATCAGACCTCGGCAACGACTCTGTTGATATCTCCAATGAATAGCATGTCTCTAGCTTCATCTTCATCCTTCACCAATCGTATGCTGAGATTTTTCAAGTGAATATTGTGGTCATTGTCTTCTTGCAGAGATAGCTTCCTGATAATGATGAAGATGGTTATGATGATGATGATAGTTACGATGATGATGATGATTACGAAGATAATGATGGTGGTTATGATGATGACGATATAAAGATGAAAGGACGAAGTAGAAAAGAGAATGAAGACGATCGGGGAAGAAATAAAACTTATTAGATAAACATCAGTAATAAAGAACTCACGGCAACTTATTGTTATTATTATTGTTGTTGTTATTATTATTATTATTGTTGTTGTTATCTTGATAGTAGTAGTCGTCGTTGGATAGCAGATCGTAACCGGAATCGTTATAAATCTCCAGGTAGGATATGCCGATTGTGTGCTCCAAGTCCATTCGGCTGTTTTTCCGCTGATTATTATTATTATTATTATTATTATTATTATATAGTTATGTAGAGTTATTGATATAGATTATAGATTTATATATAGTTATTTCGTCGTCGTCATCATCATCATCGTCGTCGTTCTACTCATCATTTCAATCATCATCAAAAATGAACCTTGAATGTGTCGAATATGTACTCAATGGTCCTGACAATGATACCACGATCGTCTAGACGTCTGCCACCTCCAGACATGGTGTAAGTTTTTCCACTACCAGTCTAGACAATGATTATTATTATTATTATTATTATTTATTAATATTTCTATTATTAACTCCGAACCTGCCCGTAGACAAATATAGTTCCATTATAACCTTGCAGTGCACTGATGATGATAATATATATTAATATTTAAATTAATTAAAAATAATTATGAATAAATTAGTTATAATTATTAATTATAATTATATAAATTAATATTATATAAATTATAATTGTACTTGTCAACTATAGGCTTGGCTATTTTCTGAAATATTTCCTCTTGGTTAGTGTCACAGTCAAAAATGTCATTAAATCTTTGGTTAAAAATAAGTTACCAATAAAAATTATTATTATTATTATCGTTATTATTATTATTTTCATTGTTATTATTATTATTATTATCATCATCATTACATACTTAAATCTGAAGTGCTCGATTTTGTTATTGATTAAGCCGTCGTTCACTTTCTTGGGGATTGTTATGGTTAGGGAGGAGCCATCATCATTAACATTAGTATCAGTCTTATTTGTGTTATTATGATTATTTTCTTTATTTATTTTTATGGCCTGTATGGTTTTAAAATTTTTAAATTAATCACCATTTGTTTAGTTAGTTTGTTAGACTATTTAATTTTATTTATATTTTATAACCAACCAATGAGTGATTGAATAAATGAACAGATGAATGAATAAATAAATAAATTAATAAATGAGTGAATAAAAAAGTAAACTAATAGATAAATAAATTATAAATAAATAATTAAAAAATTATATTTTTACTGCTTTTTTAGATGATGGTGAGGCTAACGGTTTTAGGCGGGCATACACTTTAATACATTCTTTCACCATTATCAGAAAAATATTTTTAAAATCAAATTTATGATAAAAATCATTTTTATTTTAATATTATTAAAACGTGAAATTTGTTAAACAAGAAGTAAAAGTCGTAGTTTTTAGCCCAAAGCACTTGCGTTGTTATAGAAACCAATTGCAGTTTTAAGTGTTAAAGTAAATTTAAGTAATAAAAAAACCATTGAAGTGCAGTCCATGAATCAAACTTAAAAAATTTTGAGTTAAAAAATTAAATCAACAACACAAATATAACAACTAAATAATTATCAACACAAAAAAAAATTTTGTTAAAAAAAATTATAAGTTTTCCTTATGTTTGACAACATTTTGTCTGAAAAAAAGTTCAATGCATTTTACGGTAGATAATAAAGTAATAAAAATTGCCGTTTTTAGTAATTAATTCGCTAAGTTGTTTATGCACACATGGTCTAAAATTGACATTTATCGAATTTCGGTGATTTAATAAAAATGCCGGTTTTGATATAAATTTCCTAATTTCTCTGCCGAATTTTTTTTGATTTGATATTTTAACAGTCATTCGAGTTATTTATAACTTTTTCCAAATTGTTTTATCTCGTGGAACAATCGCCATTAGTTTTGATTAGTTTTGATTGATTCAGTTCAGGCATTCAGCATTCTAGTGTTTCAAGTAGAGGACCCACTGACTCTGACTTAGGATAGGATGACTTCGAAGTGCAATCCGAGATGTTTTATTGATATTTCCATCGGAGGCCAACCTGGTTAGTTTTTATTTGTAACAACTTTTGATCTCATGTTTAATTGTTTAGTTAGTAGTTTTTTAGTTAACTTTTTTCAAGTTTAAAATTTTTATTTGCCATTTGATTTTGAATCTACACTTTTGCTTCTTAAATTTTATGTCATTAATTTTCACTGACCTGAAGGTTCAGTTATCAATTATTTTTTTACCATTCTTTTAAATGAACTCATATTATCAAATCAATTTTTACAAAATTAAAATTACAATAGTAATATAAATCAAAGTTAATATTTTTTAAATTTAATTATTAAATATATTTAGAGGGTTAATTGACTAATTTCATTTCTCCCACATATCTTTAGCTGGTCGATTAGTGATAGAACTATTTGCAAATATTTGCCCAAAGACATGTGAGAATTTCAGATGCCTTTGCACAGGTAGTTAGCCCATAATAAAATAACTTTTTAATAATTTGTTTTTAGTATTTAATTATTTATATCTTCAAAGTTATCTTAACTTTAAAAATAATTATTGTAATGGTTACAATGATTAAAATATTATTAGGTGAACAAGGGGTCAGCAAACATTCTGGCAAGAAACTCTACTACAAGTCCTCTTTGTTTCATAGAGTCGTCAGAGGTTTCATGGTTCAGGGCGGAGATTTTGATAAAGGTGAGTAGGGCTCAGGCCATAAAGTATGTAATATCCAAAATGGATATTAATATATTATGCTCATTTTGAAGCCTTTTCAAGAAGAGTTAATGATATATATAATGTTTATAAAAAGGAGTTTGAGTTGAAATGTTATAGTATTGGCTATCAGATAGACATTGAATTATTTCTAAATATAATTATTAATATTTAATTATGAGATAAGTATATAATTAATTGATTATTATTATATATTTTTTATTTCTATAGGGGATGGTACTGGAGGGGAATCAATATATGGATCACAGTTTCAAGGTGGATGGCTTGTTGTGTTGATTGATTGATTGATTGATTGATTGATTAGTTGGATGTTTGATAGATTAGTTGATGGGTTAATTGGTTTTTTTAGTTGATAAATTGATGAATTTATGGGCTAGTTGGCTAAATAAATGATCATTCTATAATTGCTTTTGTGTAGTTTTGAGTAATGTTCGTTAATGATAATGAAAACAATAATTAATTTCTTAATAAATAATTATTATTATAATTAATAATTATGTTATTATTATTGAATATTCATTTCATAGATGAGAACTTTGATATGATACACGATAAGCCTGGCCTCCTATCAATGGCGAACAAGGGTCCAAACAGTAATGGGTCTCAATTCTTCATGTAAGTTTTTGTTTGTTTGTTTGTTTGTATGTTTGTTTGTATGTTTGTTTGTTTGTTTGAATGTTTGTTTGTTTTGCGCGCGTGTGTGTAAGTTATTTGTGTGTAATAAACAGTTGCAGTAAGTGTTGATAAAAAAATTATTCTTACCACAGAACGACAAAGCCAGCACCACATTTAGATGGGTTTGTGTTGGGTTTTTCCTTTTTTTGCGCGGTCAATCCACCAATCAACCAATCATTCTACTATTCAATCAATCTGTCAATTAAATCATTCTACAATCAAACAATCAGTCATTCAACTGGTTTGTCCATCGGGACACCGTTCCATCACACAATCAACTGACCATCTAACCAATAAACACACCACCATCAACCAATCAGAAAACACGTAGTGTTTGGTCACGTGATCAGTGGTTTTGAGGTCGTGGAGGTCATAGAAAAGTTGGAGACGGATGCCAAAGATCGACCCAAAGTTCCTGTCGTCGTTTCAAACTGCGGGGAATTAGTACTGAAAAAAGTTAAGGCATGTAACGGTGTAGCAATTAATGGCGTCTATCTATATGTGTGTATCTGTGTGTGTTTGCGTGTGGGCGTGTGTGTGCGCGCATTGATGGCTAGATAAGTTTTAATTAGTCAATTAGTTGGTTGGCTGCTTGTCATTCTCACACATACCTTCATTCATTCAATGTTGAAATGTTGAATCACTCACTAATTTTTTGTCGCCAGAGGGAAGCAAAAAAACAAAAGACCGCAACTAAAGGTGGCAGTGATGATGATGATGGTAATAAAAGCAGTGATAGTAGTAGTAGTAGTAGTAGTAGTTCGTCTTCATCTTCATCATCATCGTCATCATCATCATCATCATCTGGAAGTGAACAAGATGGAAAGAAGAGAAAAAGAAAGAGAAAAAGAACGAAAAAGAAGAAGAGTAAGAGAGATAAAAAGACAAAAGGCAGTGTCGTTGGGCCCGATATGTTAGGATCTATCATTTTTTTTTTCAAGATAGATGGATTGAATGATTGATTGAATGGTATAATTTCTGGATGAATGAATGAATTAATTAATTAATTGATGTATGTATGGATGAATGAATGAATTGATGTGTGTATGAATGAATGAATGGATGAATGGATTACCTTAAATATTTACAGTGAAAGTAACGCATCAGCAACAATTGAAGACGATAAGAAGGACGCATCAACAAAGAGCATAATTGAAAGTGAAACTGGATTCTACTGCTCCATCAATCCGGGTGAGATCCCGGAAATCCCGATGAATAAATTTCTATACAGAAAAAGTCCGAAAAAGCCTGATGTTTCTAAATTTAGCAACGAGGCCACTGTTGCTTGTACTACTGCTGCTGCTGCTGGTGGTGGTGGTGATAATGATGTTGATAAAAGGAATAATGGTAACGGTCATGACGATGATGTTTTGGTGATTGATAGAAAGAAGGGAAGAGGTGACGAAGAGGATGAAGATGATGTTAGAAGATTCAGGTTGGTTGGTTGTCTGGTCGGTTGGTTGGTTGTATGTTTAGTTGGTTGATTGATTAGTAATAATGATTGTCATGTAATATCACTATTTCCATTATGAGTTTTTGTATTTGTATGAATATAACAATACCAATTCAAGCAACTGTATGCATGTTTGAATGAATAAGTAAGTGAAATAAATGAATGAATGAACAGGGAGCGAGAGAAAAGAAGGCAGCAAGAAAGGAGTGACAGCTATGCCTGGAGAGATATGGATGAAAGGAGAGAGGCAGATAGGAACTGTGAGAAGAGGAAAATTAAAGGAAGGGGAGCAGTGGTTAGTTGATAGATTGACTGATTGATTGATTAAATGAATGAATGAATGAATGAATGAATGAATGAATGAATGACAGAGGTATCATTCGCGGTCGAGAAGTAGGTCACGTGGGACGACCCCACCCCATTGGAAGAGGGAACAAATGAGGTTAACCAGTCTGGATGAGGCCTTGAAATCTATTAATAACTCAAAGTGGGTTTTTTCCAAGTTTCATCTTTTTTCTTTTTGTGCAAGTTTCGCTTTTATTTCGTCGTCAGTGTATTTAAAGTATTGAAATACTGAATTTTGACTTCGTAAGGGTGACAATGACGGTTTCTATTTCGATTTCAGATGGAACAAAGGTGATAATGTGCCGACCAAAGATAAACACAACGACAGCAAAGATAACGAAGCCGAACCTGACGATCACAATAGAAGGGCAAGTTGCAAGCACCAGAAGGATGTAAGTAGCAATAAAAGTAAAAGGAGGGGATTCGGAAAACGAGATGACGATAATGGAGACGCTGATGATAATGATCGTGATGATGGTGGCGGCGGTCATGATGATGATCGCTGGGGCCGGGGAAGGAAGGATCGTATGCTGTCTGACATGTTCTCATCCAGTGGGAAGCAACTTGTCTGCATTGAGAGGTCAGTCAGCTGTGTGGTGATGACGACGAGCTTGATGATGATGATGATGATGATGATGATATTAATAATAATTACAACATTAATAATTATAATAATATTTATTCAATTTTATTGCCCACCACAGTTACGACGCTAGGAACGTTTTACTCAATAGAAGTAAAAATAGCACAGCAGCCACTGCCTCAACTGCTGCTGCTGCTGACGATGACGATGCTGACCGTCATCATCATCAGCACCGTTCTCATCATCAGCGTGGAAGACATAATGATGATGATGATGATGATAAAAAATGGAAGCGGAAATCTTCATCATCCTCGCCCAAAGTACGAGTTGTGCAGTCTAAAATTAGCATCATAAAAAACAGAAACGCAGACGATGATGATGAAGACGACGATGACGATGATGATGGGGTGACCAAAGATCATAAAAGGCATAATGAAGGTGAAAAGATTAATAAGAGACATCCAGAGGCATCGTCATCTGAATTATCACCATCGAAAATTCGAAGGACCATTGGTGATGATGCCGTTTATGATCCTGTCAAAAAATCAACCGACAGAGGAGGCAGAGAAGTGCTCAGTCACAAGGCTGCAAATATGGAAGAGGATTCCAAAAAAGGTCGTAATAGACGTCACGCTGATGATGTGAAGTCGACTAATAAAAGTTTCGACGATGAAACGCCGAGGAAGCTCAGTCGCGAACGACGTGCTGATAAAAAATCCAGAAAAAATGATGCCACAAAATCGAGAGGCGATGATGATGAGGAGGAGGAGGAAGAGGAGGATTTGAAGAAAAAGAAATTTTCAAAAGATGGTTTGGAAATGAGACGACATGATGCTGCTGCTGCTGCTGCCGATGATGATGGTGATGGTGGTGAAGTCAACAGATCCAAGTTTGTGGAAGAGAGAGCACCTGATGATAGGAAGATGAGAGAGAATGTAAAAAGTGATTCTGCTTCAAAAAATTCTTCCAAGAACAACGCTGCCGACGATGAAGATGCAGAGGCTAGGAGGTATAGGAGGGCCGGAAGGAAAAGAAAATCGCGATCACCCGACAGAAGAGCAATTATGTCAAGTTCATTTCAGGGTCGTCGGTCTTCTGATGCAAACAGAACCGCGTCACCGAGAGTTCAAAGAGCAGCTAGAGGACAGTCAAATGAGAGCCACGAAAATGTGAATAAACAGAGGTCTCGATCGGTGAGCAGTTCAAAAAATGTTGGAACTTCATCCCCTCCACGAAAAAAAAACAGGTCCAAATCGCAGGAAAACATTTCGAGGTTCGATAGAAGTAAAAACCGAATCGATAGAAGCAAATCTAGGTCACCTAGGCGAAGATCTAGGTCAAATAAACAAAGATCTAGACCAGACAGATCTCGATCACCACGAAGAAAATCGAGGTCACCAAGAAGAACAAGAAGAAGTAGGTCAAGGTCGAGGTCTGCCAGGAGAAGAACGAGCAGAAACCGATCAAGGTCAAATAGATTCGGATCAGGCAGAGATAGGTCAGCCGGAAATAGGTCGAGACAGGATAGAAATAGATCCAGATCACGAAACAGGTCCCAGCACAGGCGCGATGAGAGATACGACCGTCGTGGTAATGCCAGCAACAGGTCTCCCCAATCATCTTCCTTCGATAGGAATAGGAGCTCAAATTCGCGCTTGAATCGTCAGAGATCTCCTAACAATATGAATAGAAAAGAGGTTTGTGATGCTTCTGCTTGTTCGATTGTTGCTTGGCTGGTCGATTGGTAGGTTGTGTTTTATTTTGCTCCGTTGTGTTTTAGCATTATCTCTATAAAATTATTAATCCTTAAAAAAGAGACCCCAAAGTTTACGACTTCTTCACAAAAATTTCAGAATGCCCACAACAGAGTGCCATGGCAGCCGCCGGAGGATGATGACGTCATCAACAGCAGCAGCAGTGCAGCTGTCAACATAAAGTACGGAGATGGTGGTATCAACATTGGCAGTGGGAGTGCTAACAAGCAGGGCAGGAAACAACGAATGCCGAACGATAAAAATGAGGATGATAAAATTGACGATTACGTCATGAATGACGTCATCGAGAGAGTAGAAGATGGAGATGGTGATGATGATGATGGTAAGAAAAATGGAGTGAGTGAAGTGATGAAAGATGTCGATCTGTCTGAAAAGTCTATGTCAATGTCTGAAGATGATGCTAACGAAGATGATGATAATAACGTTGGTGTCGTTGTTAATGATAATCGAGATGAGGGCATGGATGGCGCTGATGATGCTGCTGCTGCTGCTGATGATAAAAATGGTGATGCTGCTAAGCAAATGGCAACCGACTATGATAAACGAGTTGTAGAAAGCTTACCTGCAAATGATAAGAACGATGACGATGATGGGGCGGGCAGCGATGATGACGATGACGATGATCTAAGTGGTAATGATAAAAAACAAATTAATAGTGACACAGCTTTGAAACGTAAGAAGAAAAATTCTCCGAAATCATCGTCGTCATCTTCATCATCTTCTTCTTCAACCTCCTCCTCCTCTTCATCATCATCATCGGATGAGGAAGAAGAAGATGACGAGACTCGTAGAAATAAATTGAAAAAAATAAAAAAATTATCAACTAAAATCACTGAAATAAAAAAATCAGCCAAAAATGAAGACACAGACGACGACTATGACGATGAGAAAAAAGTTGCCAAAACGGAGAAAAATAAACCAAAAAAATCGGCTGCTAAGAAAAAGAAGACGGAGAAAAAATCCAAGCGTTCAGTATCATCTTCATCATCTTCTAGCAGCAGCAGCGACAGTAGCAGCAGTAGCAGTGAAAGTGGTACTAATGATGACAGCAGCAGCAGTGGTAGTAGCGGTAGTAGTAGTGGTAGCGATGATGATGGTGGAAAGAAGGAGGAAAAAAAGGACAAAAATTTGAAGAAGACCCATGTTAAAAGAATAAAGTCTGGTGCTGTTGAAAAGTTAAAACATAAAAGTAAAAATGATAACAGGAGAAATACTTTGGATGAAGATAGTGAAGATGAAGAAGATGATGGTGATGCTGATGATAAGGATGCTAAAAGTCATGAAGATGACGACGGCAACAACCAGTCATCTAGCATGCCAGATTTAACTTCAATTCCACTACCACAGCCTCAGCAGCAGCAGCAGCAGCAGTTACTACACAAAAGTAAAGCCAGCGCCACTTCTGAAATGGAAGACAGCAAGCACAAGAGCACGCACGTATCCATGTCCTTCAAGAAACAAGTCTACTCTCTGATGAATACTTCTACCAACATGACCCCCAAGAAGAAGGGAGAAGCTGCTTCGTTCAGTAAAAATAACGTGTCTGATGAAGAGATGGATGATGAAAATCATCAAGTACAAAAGTAAGTCTTCCCTAGCTTTCTCTCTTTTTCTATCTTCTCTCTCTCTCTCTCTCTCTCTCTCTCTCTCTCCTCTTTCGTTATTTCTCCAATTCTTTCTTTCTTTTGTTACATCTAATGAGTTGCAACTTCGTGTAAAAGTTGATTCAGCAAACGTAAATTGTAACAGTCAATTATAATAGGGCTAGCTAGTTTTTAATTGTTATATTTTTGTGATTTTATCTGTGGCTATGAAAGGTTTAAATAATATTTATAATTATATTTTTCATAATTATTAATTGGAATGTTTATTTATTTATTGACACACAGGCACAGATCAAAGAGAAATCCAACTGAAAAGAACATCGAAAACATCATGAAAGAGATGATGAGCAGAGAAAGAGTGGCCGATAAAAAACTTGAAAACTCTGAATTGAACACTAATCTAAAATCGAAATCACCACCCGCTACTACTACCACTACTACTACTACCACCAATAATAATGATGATGACGACGACGACGATGATGATAATAATGTTAATAATAATAAAAAGTATGATGATGATGGTGATGATCATGAAGAAGAGGAGGAAGATGGAGATAACGATAAACCACATCAAGATTTTGAGAAGGGAAGTAGTAGTGGCAGTGCATCAGCAAAAGTGGTGCACGGTAGTGCCAGGTCAAAAAGTATCGACTCTTCTAAAAATGAAACCAAGTCACCTATAAATGAGAATAACTCACCTAGAAATAAAAGTGTTACACCTCAAATGGATAAACAAAAAAAAAGAAATCCGTCGCCGATAACGGAAAGAGGAAGTGGCCATGCCGATGTATCATTGAGGAGAGATGAATCTTCTAGAAGGAGAAGTAGGTCACCCGCAAGAAGGAGGGGCAGTAGATCACCCGCAAGAAGGAGGGGCAGCAGATCACCGAGAAAAAGAAGTAGGTCACGTCGAAGAAGTAGGTCACAAAGAAGAAGAAGAAGTAGGTCAGGAAGAGTGAGAAGTAGGTCAGCAAGAAGAAGCAGATCGCCGAAAAGAAGAAGAAGTAGGTCAACGCGAAGAAGAAGCAGATCAACGCGAAGAAGAAGTAGGTCAGCAAGAAGAAGAAGTAGGTCAGCAAGAAGAAGGAGTCGGTCAGCAAGAAGAAGGAGAGTTAGTAGGTCGCCAAGGAGAAAAAGTAGATCTCCGAGGAGGCGGAGTAGATCGAGAAAAAGAAGTGAAACGCCTAAAAAATCAACTGCATCACCTGGTAGAAGAAGTATGTCGCAGGCAGCAAGTAGCAGAAGAAAGAAGAGTGTCTCGCTTAAACGAAGCGAGTCATCTGAAAGAAATGGGTCACCAGAAAGATCGAAAATTTCCGGAAGTAGGAGGAGAAGAAATAGATCAAGTGAAAAACCGACAAGAAATAGGTCACCTGGAAATAGATCATCCAATAGCAGTAGATCTCCATCAGCGAAAAGAAAAAAATTTGTAGATGATGAGAAAGAGAAGAGAAAGTTTGCCAGAAAAAGCAGGTAAAAAATTTTAATTTTTTTTTTCGAAGTTACTTTTTTAACTTAATTTACTGGTAATATAATACTGTTTTGTCATCCATCTTACCGTTAATGGTCTACACTTCTCTATCAATTTACTAATTCATTTAGGTCATCGTCCTAATTGGAAGAATGTCTAGAGACTGTTGAACAGAGCAAGGATGGTGACCTCTATTTTTTTTCTCCCTAAAATTGAAGATTATGTAGTTTATAATTAATATTTAGTTATAATCTCATGATCATTTATTTTGTCTTATGTAATAAATGTTGGATGAACTTTCATTGGTTAACTATGTTACTTAATTAATTAATGTAATAACATTAATGGGGACAGTTTATATAACGTTATATTTACATATATATATATATATATATATATATATATATATATATATATATTGTAAAATTTTTCTAAGGCATGCTTGCCTAGAAATCTTTTTTGTTGGCGATATTAATTCTCGTTTTTTAAGAGTTTTTTATTTAATCATTGTTAAGTGGATTAAAATTAAAAATCTTTAAAAAACAACACAATATATATATATATATATATATATATATATATATATATATATATATATATATATATATATCGCTAGTGACCATAACCATAGCATGAGAATTAAAAGGAATAAATTGTTTTAGAAATATTTTATAACAAGTAAAATAACATTCGTAACATTTATAACATTTGTAAAATAATTTTTAAAATATAATAGTAAAAATGATATTTATAACACTTACATGTATGTCTACCTGCCACGCGTTCGTGTTTCTATAAACCCAATTGGATAAAAATGCGAAGTTAATTCAGTGGGAAAAACATTGAAGAATAATGTAAAATAAGGCGTGTATGTGAAAGCTTTAGGCAGGTGCTAATCGCAAATTGAATATTTTACATAATTATCTTTGTTAAAAAGTTTTAAATTTTTTATATATGGAAGTTTGTAAAATGATTCAGCAAAAATATGAATAACTATGTAGACATATAATATCTCAAGCTACCTTTTCAAATGCTTTTTCTCATTTGGTTGACCGAAAATAACGAAAAGTATGAAAAAGAATTGAGAATTTTTAAATTTGGAGTTAGCAACATGAAAATTACAAGACGACACATCATTTTCTCACAAGAACCATACGTCTTCTACCGGATTCCAAGTCTGTAATGTATATGTGATGAAAAAATTTATTTCATATGGCAAATAAAGTAAGTCTGGTTTGAATGGTTGTGGTATCTTGAGTTATAACATTTTGTCGATGTTTTAAAATTGTGCCTTGACTATCAAATTTTAATACAGTTGGTAGTTTATAATTTATGTCATTTTATGTAACAAAAAAGTTAAATTTTTACCCAATCAGATCGAACCAGTTCACGAAGAGCTTTCATCTTTTCCATTCTCGTTATCGAAACTACTGTCGTCTCCATTCGTTCTGCCGCTCTCGTTCTCTTGATTGGCGGTTGCATCAGTCCGATTTCTGCGACGAGACCTGCGGCGTCTGGAGACTGAAACAGCGATGGTACCTGGTTGCGAGTAGAGGATGTTGCTGGTAGCCACCACGTAAAAATTATCTGAAACGATGGCAACTGCTATCGGGCTGTATTCTCGTTGCTCCGAAAGGTGAACGATTGAAGAAGAGTAGAGACCGGCTGTTGATCTTGCTCGGTGTTCTGCGAACGGTCCACCCCAGACCCATCTGTCGTGTTAATTAAGGTTTGTGCAAATTGCCTATTTGACATTTCGATATGAAAAGATCAGAAAAAATGAAACTCAGAAATTAACCTTGGCGGTAACACCATGACGGGTGGTCTTCCCTCGATCCATCTCAAATTGCGCGATTCATTGAAAGTACGTCTGAACTGTTGCGAGCAGTACTTGAATATTGATATCATTTCAGCGTATTCGTAAGCCGTTACCACGGGGTCGAATGCAGATTCAAGATCATCGCCTCTTCTTATGTGCACAGAATCACTAGCAGACACGAAACTAGTTCTATCTGTTGCAGTCTTGTATGAGCTGGTGCTGCTGAAATCTCTGCCGTAGACTTGCCTACCGTCAACTGTAGTTTCGTATAAACCACTGCCAGCTGATGCGAAACTCGTTCCGTGAGTTGTTGCACTCGTACCAATTCTTCTTCCGTAATCTCCACTACCTTCGAATGCTGTTTTATAACTTTCATTTGTTTCATAGATGCCTGTATGACACCTGCCGTCAGAATGTCTTGTAACTGTGGAAGCTGCAGAAGAATATGAACTTTCGGATTGAATGTTTGAAGTTGTAGAGGCTGTGTAGAAGTTAGATGGAGTCGTATATTCTCTGCGGTCGGTACTAGATCCACTGATGCTGCGGCGATCAAATGTTTGACCGCTACTAAAATCCATCTCAACAGACTTCAGTCTTTGAATGCGGTCAGTTAGGTTGTGAATCCTCTCATCGAATGAAGAAATGCCATCTTCAATGCTTCTGTGTCGTCTTCGAAGTTCATCTCGGGATTGAGGAGAATGAATGGGATGTTCTTCATCACTAAACCATCTTCTGTCATCTTCTGTGGTTGTACTGTCTCTGTTGTAGTTCCCATCACTGGCTCCTAGGTTCGAATCTAAATCCTCAACACTTCCGCTACCTCCGTGAAAACTGTTGACAGTAGTCCATCTCTCCGATGCTCTATATTTATCTCCATTATTTTCTATGATAACATCAGAGCGGCTGGAGTCTGGCGTTACGAGACCTGCTTCGGTGACTGTTGTGGAAGTTGTGGTGGTGGTCGTCGTCGTTTTTGCTGCGGCCCGTCTCATGCGGTAAGCTTCATCGTCCCAGGGTCCTGGTTCTGGGTCGCCTCCGATACCACCGAACGCTCCTGCTGCCAAATCTGAAGATGCAAATATTAACATTATCTGATCAGTTAATCCCCCGCCATCCTCTTCATCACTTTCGCCTTCTTCCAGTGTATCGTCGTTAGAACGATCTAATCCATCTATCGACTCATCGTGTTCGGTGTCTCCGATTATGTCGGAAACGAGTTGAGTGGCTGCTGTAGTGGCTTCTTCAGTTTTATCTAAAAAGTAGATAAAACGCATTCGGCTCCCTCTGACACTCGTTAATAAAAGTTGATCAGTTTCGGGACACGTTGAATCGAAAAATTCATCTTCGACACCAGCATTACTACCGTTCAGACTTGCAGTTTCGCTCGAATCTTCACTGCCTTGTTTCTGGCTTCCGCGACTGCGACGCCTTCGTGCGAATATCCTGCCGCCCCCAGCTGTAGCATATTGTCCTTTGTTGTCTGTCAGCGTCATCCATTCGGCGTTTGTCATGCCGGGAAGTTTTACGACTCTACCATGACTGTCTGTGTAATCGTTCACTGGAACCCATTTGCCTTCGAATCTCTGCCTGTTTTGGTTTTTATCATCCCTGTCTACTGGCGTGCCGTCGAAAGATGTGTCCTTTAAAATTTGTTCTAGCTGGTTTTGAATTTGAGAATGTCTCGCGGCGAAACCAGTTGATACTCCATTGAAATCAGCTCCTTCGGGACGTCGTTTATCGTAGTGTGAATTTCTTTTTTCATGTTTGGCATCGTGTCGGCCAGCTTCATCGAGTTTAGGCCACGAAACACCGTCGCCGTCTAATTCTTCGATCATTCGGTAGAAGTTTTCAACAGTATTCAGCGTAGCAGTGATCTGATCGTCCATTGATGGAGTGACATGGACAGTGACTCTGTTCGGTATGTAATCAAAATGTTCTTGCATCGTATCTCTCGACGGGAACACTTCTCCTGTACCACGCATCATACTCCTTCGAAACTTTCTTCTCTCGTTTGACGGGTTCCTACGGTTTGGACTTTCACTGGGGGAACGAGATCTATTTCCTCCTCCTCCCCTTTGATTTGGCGATAAGAATTCACCACGTTCGTTATTATTTATACTTTGTCCAGACTGTTCTGAGTTGTTGGGAGATGATCGGGACGGTCGTCCCGTTGTTTGGGAAGGGCACTCTTTGGCGTTCCCTGTTTGGTGGATATCCTGCGTGTTTTGTAATTCAGTTGAAGATTTTGCGGCAGTTTCATGTTCGGTAGAATATTGTTTTTCAACTTCTTTTAAGATGGTATCATTTCTCGCAAACACCTGAACTAGCACGTTGTTGCTATGTTGGTGAGTTGTTTTGACTATTCTGATGTCTCGACCTCCATCTAGATTATCTTCACCATCTTCATCGTCTTCGTCGTCTGGCCTGCGAGGTTTATGATTCATGTGAAATTCGTAGAATGTTGATCGTGATGTCGAAGAGGAGCCGGTTCTATCATTATCTGACGATGTGTTACCTTCCGTTGATGATTGGTTGTCTGATGCCTCTTGAGTTTCGTTGTTGTGTGAGGTTGGTTTTGTTGTTTCGTTCTGAATGTCGAGGTTTTTTGGTTCGGTCGGTTGGACGCTAGGGTCGTGGTGAACAGTTTTTTCAGGTGTTGACGGCTTGTCTTGATGCTTCTCCGTGTTCTTTCCTTTATCGTTTTCTTGGTTATTGCTGCTTTTCTGTTGATCCTCTTGTTTGTCGATCTTGAAAAAATCAAAGAAAAGTTTCTTAAAGCCTCCGAAAATAGGACTAGTGTTTGTTTTTCTCTTATCTTCTGAATTATTTGAAGCTTTTCCATCGATGTCACCGTCTAATTTATTATTTTTATTTTCTTCGTCAGATACCGACTTGTTGGTGACATGTTTCAATTTCTCATCGCACGAAATGCTGCTGTCAATTTCATTTGAATTATTTTCTTTTATCTCAGTTGAGCCTATTACTTCATGTTCATTTGTAGATTCCGCAGTTTCATTTTCACTGGTTTCCACTTTTTCACTTTCTGATTTTACTTCCTCCAGTTTTCCATCTCGAACGTCGATTCCAGCTCTTTGAAATTCAGAGAGACTGACAGAGGAGCGGTTGCTAGGTGAAACTCTCTTCATCGTATCTCCGCCGTTCTCCGCGAAATATTGATCGATGTCCACTTCTAGATCGCCACTACCGACAGTACTGCAGTTGGAGTCGCTATCGTTTGAGCTACTCGAGTCGGATATTTCTTGCTCCGTGAAATCGTCGCGTTTTGATGGAATCGGCATTGGCTGGCTGACCGCATTTTTTTTCACTTCACTCAAGTAAGTTTTATTTTCATCTGTTTGATCATTTTTTTCGTCTAAAATTAAATAATCTTCTAATTCTTTTTCATTATTTTTCAAGAAAGATGATATAATCTGTTCGTCCGTTAATATTTCGTTTGACTTATATTCGGAAATTTCGTGAGTGCACCAGTCTAATATATCTACGGCAGTTTTCACGGCACTTAGGTTAATAATTTCTGTGACATTACCATCGTCATTTTCATAATCATTTATTTTCTCAGTTTCATCGCTTGTTCTTGGAGAAACAACAATGCCATATCCCTGATGTCGTTTTTCTTGGTTAGGAGATTTCGGCAGGTAGGAGCGATACATGCCGATATCGTCTGGATTATTTTTCAAAAAGTTTTCAATCAGTATTTCGTCTGCAGTTGTTTTGGAGTGGTCGTCATGCCCACATTTCATAGAGAACCAATCAGCCACACTGGCCGCAGTTCCAAACGCACCTGATGAAAAATCTTCTCGACTATCCTGTGTTCCGTCTTTAACATTCTTACTACGGTCAGTATTATTATCAGTACTAAAGGTAGTAGCAGAAGCAGTCGTTGTAGAAGTAGCAGTAGTAGTAGTGGTGGTAGAAAGATAGAAATTTGAATCTGTGTCATCATTTTTGTTTTGATGATGTAGCTTTTGAATAGTTTCATCAGATTGCTTGCCTGAACTTATATATAAATTCAATTCATCGCTATGATTTTCTAAATATTCTCTTATGAGATGTTTGTCTGATTTAAATTTTTCCGTGTTATCATGATGACAGCATGAGAAATAGAAATTTTCATCTGAAATATTTTTGCCAGTAGGCGTCAAATCAAACTTTGTAGTTTTGTCAGCACGTTCCATTGCCCTTTCTGATTGAAAATTTTCTTGATTTGAATAAAAATTCAGTTCGTCGGGGTTATTTTCCAAGTAAACTGATATAAGTTCTTCATCGAGTCTGATTTTATTATAACCGCTGATACTTCCGCACACGAAGTCTGCATTCCATTCTAAGATGTTAATCGCGGTGTTGATGCTTGCCAGCGATGGTTGGAAATCAGATTCTTCTGATTCTTTTTTTGTGGCTGTAGTGATTGTCGCTTTAGTAGTTGTTGTTGCTGCTGTCGTCGTCGTTGCTGATGTACTTTTTTCATCATCTTTGTAGATATCCAATTCATTTTCGTTATCTTTCAAATATGAATTTATCATTTCTTCATCTGTTAAAGTTTTTCCGATATATCCACAAATGAAATCAGCGTAATGGGGATGATCTGAAGTTTTTCGGTCTGCAGGTTCGTTAACGATCAAATTATGTAAATTTTCGGAAACCTCTTGTAGTTGTGAAACATTTTTATTATTATTTGATAAATTTTCGTTTTTTAATTTATAAAAATCTAGTTCACTTTCGTTCGTGTTTAAATAATCTTTAATAAGTTTTTTATCTGATGAGATTTTATTCTGGTGACCGCATACAAAATCATCATTTGTAACAGTAGATTGGGTGTTAATTTGCTCTGATTCGTCATAATTATCAAGCGTTTTAGCTGGTTTTTTGTAAAAATCTAATTCATTTTCATTAACTTTCAAATATTGATTTATCAGCTCTTTATCTGTTAGAGTTTCTTTAAAATGGTCACAGATGAATTCAGAGATATGCTGTTGTGAGTTTATTTCTTCACGGTCTGATGGTTCTTCGCCTGTCACTCTTTCTAATTCGACATCAGTTTTACGTGAGTCTTCAAATTCTTCAAGATCCATTTCATCATTTTCAACTTCGCTAGTAGTCTGTTTATAAAAATCCAACTCATCCTTATTATTTTCTAAGTAATTGGCGATTAAATCATTGTCCTTTTGTACGCTGTGTGCACACGTTAAAGCAAAGTAGCTGTCTAAAATGTCTTTCGCGGTTTCAACTGACGGTGATTTTGTATTTTTTATTTGAACTTCGTCATTTGTGTGACTATTATCAATTGTAATATCATTAGTATTAGTAGTAGTAAGAGCAGTAGTAGTAGTAGCAGCCGCAACATCGACAGTAGTAGTAGCAGTAACGGTAGCGGTAGTAGCGGTATTTTTGACTTCCTCTTCCATGAACTCTTCATACGTAGGCGGAGGAATTGATGTAACTTGTGTAAAATCAGACGTCTTGTCATTGTTTAGGAGAGAAATTAGCTGAGAATCAACGTCTACGCTTTCCAGTTTTGGTACTTCAATGGTCGACCAGTCAATGGAAGGGATGTTGTGGATTTTATTTGAAAATTCTTTCTCGAATTCAGCCATAGCCTCTGATAAAATTGTCGAAATTAATTTTTCTTGTCCGCAGTTAAATTTACACCAGCCATCATCTTCAACTTTTTCAACATCAGTTTCTTCATTAATTTTAGGATTTTGTGGAATGAAAATTTCTTTTCTAACTTCAACGTCTTCATCTTCTGATGTGCAGGATTCTTCAGCTAAGGTTTCAGTGTCGGTATCGCAGAATGATTCACTTTCTTTCATGTTGGTCGATGCTTCTTTGTGTTTGTCATCATCTGTTTCAACCTTGTTAACTGGCTGTTGTTGTCTGGATGCACTCTCTGAAATATTTTCCCCTAAATATTTTTCATTTTTGATATTTGTCCCGCCATCCTGCCTGTCGCTTTCGTACTGATCGCATGAATAAAATTCGGCACTGCTTGAAATGAGTTCAGCATTTTCTTTCTTGCGGCTGTCATCAGAAACGAACGAGCCATCCAACGGAGACATGAACTTCTCATCCTCCGATTCACTGAAAATCGAAGGAGGGTTTCTGACTAATTTTAAATTTGTAAAATTTTCATCTGGCAAATTTTTCATTTTATTTTCCGTTTTGTGGTTGTCGTAGCCATCGAGAAAGTCTTCAAGTTTCGGCGAACTCGTCGCAAAGGGCCTCTCATTGAAATCAATTTCCTTATCAGAAGCCCACATTTTATCATCGGCAGTCAACGGATTCGAACTAATGATGATAGTCGATGAATTTTCATCAATTTTTGACGTTGCCGTATCAGGCTTAGTGGCATGAATGTTGGAATCACGTTTCATAGGAGCGTCCTCAGGGCAGTTTACACAATTCGAGTAGTGTTTTTCGCTAGTTTCGATTATGAAATTATTCGTTCCAATGCACGCGACCGATGATTCCACTACATCTAGATCGAATTTGGCCTCTGACGAAATATAATCCCTGATGTTCCGCGAACCGAAACCACCGCATTTAATTTCATAATTTTGTTTCGGGGGGTTGATTTCGGGATGGTGTGGATGGAAAGGTTGTGGTTGGGGCGATTTCCCGCTGCTTGCATCTGTCATCATCTCGTCATCCGCGGTTTCGTATCTTTCGTCGCTGCTCGTCGTCTGATCAGCTGCTGCTGCTGCTGCTGCTGCTGCTGATAAGTTGTCGTGTTGATCAGGTGGGTGTTTGTTTGAAGTAATGTTTTTGTTTTCACGTTTGTCGATTTTTGATATTTCCTTCTGTTGTTCGTTCGGTTGTTCGGTTGTTTGGCTGTTGCTGCTGTTCTCTTTCCGTGTTTTATTGAGTGGCGTGTCATCCTGTGCTTTGAAAATTTCACTCTTACTTGGAGGAAATTTATCGGGTTTTTTTGTGTTATCCGACAAAGTTTGAACTATCATCACTTTCTCAGGTTTGTTGTCGATCGGTCTTTCAACGGCGATGTTACTGAACCGAGTTGCGTCCGTCGGTACAAAGAGTTCATCATCTTTGCCGTGCGTTAAACTCGCTTTTCTGTACTGAAAGGGTTCTCTTTCAATTTCATCCGAATCTTCGGTAGGCTTTAGTTTATTTTTTTCACTGGTCGGAATTTTACTCACGTTATCAATTTGGCTTGTAGTATTATCTTGATCCGGCAGTTTATTTTTGATAGAGCTGCTTTTATTATCTTCATCAAATTGTTCATTTAGAGAATCACAAATTGTTTTCACCATCTGCATTACCATACTCGTGTCTGCAAATTTATCATTCTCATCTCTGGCACCAGTTTTTACAATTTCATCTATTCCAGATTCTACAACGTCTCCATCAATTTCCTCCAGCCACTGTGTGCTGCCATCGCCTCGCTTTCTTTCGTGCACTACAGATCTGGAAACATTTGTATCGCCTTTGTCTTTTCTCATTTCTCCATCCAACTCATAGTTTAGCACCAACCTAGCCACTCGGACAAAACTTTCCACATCCTCTTTAATTTCCATTTTTGTGAACGACCAGATGATGGTCAGCGTGCAACGCTTAACATTTGTAGATTGTGGTTTGCCGTCGCTGTATGTAACGTTCTCAAAAATTATATCGCTGCCGTGTGTCTGTCTGCATTTATAAACAGCCGGTGTTCGCCATTTTTTGATTTCATTTTCATGTTTCTGGTTAATTTTTTTATTTCCAGGTAGCAGATTAAACGGCATTTCTACAGTGATTTCTGGGCCGTGATATTCAAGTTTACCCAAATTATCTAGCTCTAATTTTCTCAAATTTTCAATTTCTTCTGAGAAATTGATTTCAACATCAAATGAGTGAGAAAGAGAGGGGGATGATGGAGCTGATTTTGAACCGGAGGCAGCTTTGTTAGATTTTATTTCATTTTTGGCATTTGATTCAATTGTAAATTTTTTACAAGTCAAAATTTTCTCTTCTTCTTCGTCACTAGCTTTGTAATTTTTCGCCTCCTTTTTTGTTTTTTTCTTCTTTTTAATTTTATTTTCATCATTTCCGTCACTGATTGTATCATCTGATGAAGATGAGGATGAGTCGGTTTTTAATTCGGAAACTGCACTTCCGGCAGACGTAGCGAACGATTCTTCGAGGATCGTATCAATCTCATTTTTCTTCGGACTAGGGCAGGAATCGATGAAGGGCATCTCATTCAACTGCATCTCCTTCAACTTTCGTTTCTGCGTTGTTTCATTTTCAGACTTGAACGTGTTACTTTCCTCCTCTTCTCTTTCTGAATTCGAAATCGTGTCCATGTACGGGTCGTCAACTTGGTACTTCTCTGGAGCTTCTTGCTTTATAATTTCGTCATTTTCACCAGGATTTTTAGTATTTTTAGAAAAATTATTTGAATCACGAGACTTAATTAATTCTTTAGCGTCAAATTTTTCTTTTTGTTTGCCAGACGGGGTCCTAGATTTTGGTTCGATTTGATAATTCTCAATAGATATTTTATTTTGTGCTTGTGAAATGCGATTTTTATTTCTCCATATGTTATCCTCGTCTACCGAAAGGGGTTCACATTTACCTTCTTTAATATTAATTTGGCTGCCATCATTGCTTACAAATATTCTATCGGAATCAGTTTTCTCACTGTTGCTACTCGTTAAAGATGTTTTGGAGGATGTAGTAGTGGTTGCAGAGCCTTGTCTCGCCTCTTCAGAAGTCGCAGGACTGCTGCTTTCTCCGTTTCGTCTCTTCAATTTCTTGCCTTCCTCATGGTAACTGAATCTACTCTCGATGCGATTTGGAGTCTGGTTGATGTTCATTTTATTTGTGCTAAATTTTTCAGAAATTGGTTTTTCTTTTAGTTTTTTTTTGGCCGGCGGTACTGGTTCAACATCGGCTCTTGTGATGAATTGATGCGCTGGCAGACGTTCAGACAGTTGGTGATCTTTCATTTCTTGCCCTTTCATCTGCCTAATTTTGTTCGGAGTTCTCGGTATCGTATGTTCCGATTGACTTCTCATTATATCTTTCTCGTTACTTTCTCCTCGAATTTCAATTTGCTCGTGCATGAATTGTTGCTTGTGTCGCTGCTGCAGTTGCTGCTGCTGTTGCGGCGACAATGTCGACATAGATCGGTGGTATGCGTGATAATCTTGTCGCGTTCTTGCCGAACCCACCGTTGATGACGTCAAAATTCCGTCATCGCCAAAGGATGTTCCCAGATCGGAAGACTGATCTATAACTCCTGAATCTCCCCACCCACTCAGACTTCCTCTTCCGCTCTGACTCAAACTGTTCAGCTTGTGGACCATCAACAGTCTCTGTTTCCTCGCCTCTTCTTCCTCCAAACTGTAATAAATCTGCTTTCTCGGCAGGACATCTGTCGCGTACAAATAATTATCTCTCCGACCCGTCGATGATTTTATGGAATGATCGAGAATCGCGGCTGCAGTTGGATTTCCGCTATCGACGTAGTGATCTCTACTTCTTGATTTTTCATTTTTCCTCATCCTCTCACGAGACGCGCTCTTTTTTTTTTTATTTTTCTTCCCGAGACAAAAAAATTTCGCGAAAGTGGATTTTGTACTAGAGGAGCGAGTGAATGCGGCCGAATTGTCGTGGCGGCCGTCGTAGAGAGATTGGCAGCTTCTGGCAGCTTGTGCGGCGTCTTCGAGAACACTCAACCAGTGTAAACTCATACCTTCACCCGAAATTCCTTCTTCCGAAATTGTTCTTTTCTTACTGGAAGCTTCTTTGGTTTGCTGATGTTGTTGACGATTTTGTGTTTGTGGTAGTTGCTGCTGCTGTTGACGATTTTGAAGTTGCTGTTGCTGTTGCTGCTGCTGCTGCAGCTGTTTGCGACTTTGGTGTTGAAATGGTTTGGTGTGTTGATTTGTACCGTATGAAATTGTTGCCATAGGTTTAATAGTAACGACACTACCATCGCTTTTCATGGTTACAGCTGTTATCCACGGAGTTGTTTGATGCCGGCAAATAAAAAGAATTTCATCATAATAAATAAAAATATTATTATTATTAATTATGTTATATTAAAAATATTTCACTAAAATATTTCACTATAAACATATTAAACCAATGAACGTACCTTCCAAAAAAGCAAAGCAATAATAATTTACACAGCTCGTCAGACAAATATAATTACTATCTAAATAATTTTTATTAATAAATATAATAAATTAATTATTAATAAATAGGCAGTTTAATTATCGTACGATTAATTGATTGATTGATAATTGTCAATTAATATCTTGCGTTGTGGTCAGCCGTTTTCGTGCAACTTAAATTTAATTCCTTCAATCATTTTTGCAAGGTTCTGCAGAAAATATCAAAAATTTATAATTTATTATTACTATTATTGTTGTTATTGTTGTTATTATTGTTGTAGTTTATTTGTTCTGTATGTAAGGGTAAGGTGCTTGCTCTTGTTGTTGTAGTGATCGGTTTCCAATGCAAATACGTCCCGACATATCCTATCCAGAGTCTCGAATAATACTACGTAGTCATATATATGTGTGTGTTTGTCTGTGTGTGTGTGTCTGTGTTTGTGTGCGTGTGTGTTTTGTTATTTGAAAGACGATATTAATATTATTATTTTATTTTAGTTAAAACAAATTTTATGGTTTACAAGAAAATATTATGTAGTAGAATATGTAATATAATGTGTACAATCCAGCAAACCAAATGAACAACTTATTGTTTATACTTTAATAATTATTAATATTTATTACTCTTATTGTATATTTTTTCGTTAATTATTTGAAGAGCGGCAGACTGAAGGTAGATTAAATTCGAAAACAAACAAGCAGACGATTACGATGATGAAAATATAAGGAGGATAACACGTTTTATCATTTCCATTTTCAATGAATTCTCTCTCTCTCTCTCCCTCTCTCTCTCTCTCTCTCTCTCTCTCTTTCTCTCTCTTTCTCTCTTTTTCTTGTTTTATGTACCCACACGTGTGTTAGAACGTCTCTCTTTTTTTTATCTTTTTCGCTCTCTCTCTTTCTATCTCTCTCTCATCTAATGATCTTATTATAATTCATTAATCATCGTCGTCGTCGTCTTCATTGTAAGAGGAGTAGTTGTGATTTAATAACTGACTATGATGTCATCATTCGTGTCATCTCCTTCGTCACAATTTATAATCCTTATTGGTCATTCTCCCAATCGAAAATTACCTAGACACATACAAACATACACTCATGCATATATACATGCACATACACACATACATGCATGCATACGTACGTACATACAAACAAGACACGTTTAACGCGTTATCGATTAGTTTAGTTAGTTACTTGGTTGGTTCGCTAGCTAAGCAGTACAACTACTAATACTATTACTACTGCTGCTGCTGCCACTACTACTACTACTACTACTGCCACTACTTCTACTACTACGACTAATAATACATGTGTATTTTTATATGTGTTGTGCAATCACAAAAAATGTGTTAAAAGAAATTAGAAAAAAAAGAAAAAAGAAATTTTTCGTACATATGTGCCTTTACGTGTGTGTGTGTGTCTGTATATATTTGTGTTCTTGTTCTTGCGTGTGCTTGTGTATATCTGTATGTATACGTGTTTGTGTGTGTGTGCGTGTGTGTGTGTGTGTGTGTGTACATGTGTGTGTGTGTACGTGTGTGTGTGTGTGTATGCCAATGTCAATTTAGTTAACCTGATCACTCTGCATACGAGCAAATAAATCGAAGATTTAAAAAAGTATTATGAGTATGTACTGCTTAACATCTGCTGCGTTTGAGTGCGTACCTCATGCATACACACACATACATACGAACACACATACGATTATGTACACTACTACACAGAAATAGGTAAGGAAACATACACAAGTGTACAACATATGTGTACAGAAGCAGAACACGTATGTATTGGTAAGATTTTTTAATGTTAGTCATCAGTAACAACTTGACCTGATGGCATTCAATTATTGATAGGTATGATATAAATAAATTCATTCCTTTTTTCTGTTTCTCTCTCCCTCCCTCCCTCCCTCCCTCCCTCCCTCCCTCCCTCCCNC